GTACATTACTACTATTTATGACTATTGGTTGTTTGGAAATATATTTAATTAAATTTAACTAAAGCAATTGCGGCAATGTCACAATATAAGTGTTTCTCTTTTCGTGAAATATTTTGATATAAATTGATATAATTCTTGTTATTAGCAATACACAACAAACGTGTGAAAGACATTAATTTAAAATTAAATTAAGCAAAATAGAATAATAGGAGGAATTTATTCAGACGGTTGGGCGACAGTGAAAACAGAAAGAAAGGGAGAAAGGTTTAAATAATGCAGAGGTGTCCGCCAAGCAGACCATCTATCTTCATTGTTATTAATCTGCCTGCTAAAAGAAATCTTCAGAAAAATATAATTTAATCATGAGTACAATATTCATATACAGTAATCCAGAAACTTAATATTTGCAGATGACATAAAATGTTTTGAAAAATAAGCCGTAGAACTGGAAACTAAGTTGATAGAAGTGTCATAAGAATGCCAAAAAAATGAGCCTAATAATTTACGCCACAAAACAAAAATAATGACGAACGGTCCATGTTCCCCCATGAAAATAAAAGATTTAAACATTGAATACAGCAATGAATACTTATGTCTGGGACAGTGTCATTTGAAACCAGACGAAAGAAAGAAACAAAAACTAGAATCTCAAATGTTTGGGAGAAATTCTGTGGGCTTAAAGTTTATTCTGTACAATGAAAAAGAAAGCATACATATCGCAAGAGCGATATTCGATCCCTGTATACTGCCAGGTCTATTATACATGTATAACAGACATGTCTAACCGCCAACAAAAAAATTATACAAAAATCTTACCAAGAAAAATAGAAAGAAAAATGCTAGAAGTTACGCCTAGACACAGAATAAGAAATGTAGATTTCCTCAAGAGAAAAATATTAAAAGATGTACCCAGAAAAAGAAGATCAATAGGAGATGGACAGATCACATAATGCGGATGAATCCGAAGAGATGGGCACATCAAGCTACTATATGGGACACAAGAATTGAAACAAGAAAAGTGGGACGTCAAAAAACTTGCTGGTTCGATGAAATAAGAGACGTAGTCGGCAAGATGTGGTCAAGAAAAGCGATAAATAGAAGTTTGAGGAAAGTGATACTCATAGTAATACGACGATACGACATTTGTAGCGGGTTCAGCGGCCAATAATGTGCAGTCAACAGTGAACAACAACGAAAAACATAGACAAATGACGATAAGTGGATAGAGAACAGTGATGGTGGTTCGGTCAGTGGACAGTGGGAAACAAGTCGAACAACAATATGGTCAGTGTCAACAATGAGGACAGTGGGCAACAATATAGACATTGGGTAACAGTGAACAATAGCCAATAATAAGGACAGTGGACAATAAGCTTTTTTAAAACCCTCCCCACGGTTAGCTCACTTGAGAGATAATCTAATTTTTAGCCACCCCACTACTGAGATAGGCCTTGCCCAACACTGAGATCAATGGCTTTATTATTATTATTATTATTATTATTATTATTATTATTATTATTATTATTATTATTATTATTTAAATAAAAAATGCACAAACTGAAAACAATAACATTCCCCTAAAGATACGATTACTTTGCTATTTAAGCGCCAGGATCCTGAATTGAACGCTTCACCAACTTCCGAATTTCTTTAATAAAAGCTAGACTCCACCCACACAACCAGAATCCATCGCCTGTCAAGAACGTCTGGGGGCGACACCTCCTTTCCCTCGAGAGGCGAGCAGAGGAAAGTTCTGTTCTCGGTGAAGCGATCGCCCTAAGCCTGCTTCCAGCGCCTTCGCAACGGTCGACCGTAATTCAAGCGCATTCGCGACCGCGTCTCGACAAGGGAATCCTCTCGACCGACAGGGCTCCTTCGAGGGGGCTGAAACGCGACACCGGCGTCGGGCGTTGCGAGGCGCGCCGCGCGACTCCGAAGCTGTCCCGGCGCGCCGCCGCCGCCGTCAGGCAGCCGCAGGGAGAAGGAGGGCTGGCGCTGGCGGGGAGGGAAGCAGCAAAAACGCTGGAGCAAGAATATAGAGAGGGATGTGGGGGGGGGGTGATGAGGTAAGGGTAGCGGAA